ATATATATGTTTGTAATGAATAATAAAATAAAATATAGTTTATAAGAAAATAAAAAGTCATCAAAATATTGAAATAGAATTTAAACATTAACAATAAGCTTAAAAAATATCTAATACCTTTAATAATATAATAACAAATTGATCTATGATTTATACATTTTTCGATAGTTGTTGAAAACTAATTTCACAAATTCAAATCGGCTAATTTAATTGTTATTAAATTTATCACTTGTCTCTTTTGTTTTTCTGAAACGGATTTCAATTTTATTCAGTACGCTTTTTGAGACTGTATTATCAAAACTATATATTTTAATGTAATTATAAGTCTAAATATTTTTTATTAAAATTAAAAAAAATATATATTAATAGAAGGATGCGCTTTAAAAAATTGTTTATTTAAATATGAATAAAATGATTCACAATTATCAATGCACTAATATCTAATAATAATAAAAAAATAGTAAAAAGTTCAATGAAATGAGTAGTAGATAATTATTGTCGGGTTATTTTGGCATATATTTTAACCAGTGGTTCTCAAGCTTCTTTTTATAAACAGGTAAAAACTATCGGTTTGGCAGAAACGAAAATCGTACCTTAATCAGATTTGGCGGAAATGATGCTTGGCGGAAACGATGAACGCTCGGTACACGATTGCCCGTGTCTTCTTCAGGTAATTAAAACTCATTTAATAGGAGATTGGGACGATACTTGGGCAGACGTCGAGTAGCTTCCGATTCTTGGTTTTGACCAAGATCCTCAACTATTTAACAAGCCCCTAACACCACCCTTACGCAAAACGTAGATTGAACCTGTAAGTAAATGTATGGGGTTATTGTGAAACAAAATGTACGTAAACTTCAATAGTCGCGCATTAATGTGCAGAACACTAACGGTCTGTCCGCTCCGGATCAACGACGCAGCTATCCCAGTATAATCCACGGAAATCACGGTCCCTCTGCGGCTCCGGATGGACGAAATCAAACAGTTGTACGGGAAAGTCTTGCCGCAACCTCCGGCTCCGGAAACGTCGAACAACTTGGGCAATGGACGCCTGGTGTCTTCGACCGCCCGCATTACGCGATCGTACATCGTTCATTGTTGTTCGTTTAGTTGACCGACCAATTGAGCGACGTCTGTCGCCGTTACCGTCTTCGTCGCCTTGTCGGTCGGCGTGTCCGGTACCAACAGAGCGCGATCCGGCTCGGATAAACCGTAACCCGTGAGCGTCTTGTTTGAAGCGGCCAGGTGACGTTCCTTAGCAGCCAGACACATGGCTTCTGTTGTGTCGCGGTATGCGTGTCGTCTGAAGTAATATTCCATTAAATTATCCTATTAAACCAACAAATGATTAATTATTATATCCATAATTAGATGAGCTACGGAAATAAAACTATAGACGAAACAAAACTATTGTGCGTAGTTCAAATTATTTTATAATTTATTAATAATTATTTATATTATTGTGCACGTTGTAATATATAATAATTATAGTAATAAGAATAAATATATGTATTACTGTTATTGTAATTATTATTATTGTTTTTGTGTTAAAAATTTTGCAATTTATTTTAAATCACACTTAATGAATATATTTGTGAATGTAAAAATAATATAATATTTGTATTGAAAATTGAAATTTGCCAGTCAATGAAATTGTATCAAAAATCAGTAACATTTAATGAACATATTTTATTTATTGTAAAACTATATATATATATACACTAACAACAACCTGTCATAAATACTTGTTAGTGTTTGGGATCGAATAATGATTTATGTCGAGAATAACTTTTGTTTATCGAATATCGTATAAAAAATAACAGCTTATTTAACCAATGACTGATGTAGAACTTTGCACTGTTAACTCGATACACGCTATGAATAATTTGTCAACAGATCGCAGTTATAATAATTGTTATATGTCGAGTGGTCGTCATACTTAAAACTCGTCGTAAAGTTTCAGCGAGTCGTTGGTCGAACAACATAGGAGTATCGTGACGAACAGACATCTCAACTGATGCGACGTGTCGTGAACGGAAGCTTCTCGCATACACGCCCTCCACGGCGATCATCTCGTAAAATGCCCAGAGCCGGCGTCGGCGTCATTCCTGTTCAGTTGGAAGAATTCCGTGAGCATTGTGCGCACCCCGGCACCGAAGAGCACATTAACTGTCTGATGAACACGTGTTCTCTGTTGGTCGTTCACCACGGGCCCGTCTGTCCCATGTGTTGGTTCCATCCTCTTTCGCCGTTCGGAAAGAATAACGGGAATGCTATCAGACGGATGTGTGGCGACCTCGTCGACAGTGTGCGCCGTCGTAAACCGCGAAATCCACTTGCGCTGGTGGCAAGCCGTTCTCGTCGGTGAACACCGCGGCTACTCCGTTGACCCGCGAGGCGTTGTAGCTCCTCGTGCCGCTGTTGCGTTCTTCGATGAAGAACATGGTCACTCTTCGCGGTGCTTCGTCGGGTCTCATTTACCCACACCTTGTTCATATTCCTGAAAGAGACGAAAGATAATGATTATATATAAAAATTAGACGACGGTCGTCGGGGCGTAGGGTTGACAGCCCTCAACATTTTGTCGAGTTCCCGTAACACGCTCTCCAACAGATTGGCTCGGCTGCGATTGGCTTCAATCCGCGCCGCGGTAGCTTCCATCGAGTTTATGAAGGACAACTGACAGTNCAATTTTACTTAAATTTAAACCACATTTTTACTATTTTTATTTATTTTATTGTTGTTTTAGATTAATCATTATTTTTTTTTCTCTTCATTTTTAAGGTAAAGTGTTTTCAAGTAAATAATTTGTCGGCGGAGTAATAAAAAAAAATTACTTTAGGAAATTAATATTTTAATTGTTATTATATGTTATTCGAGTGTTCCAAAAACGCTAAATTGATGTGCTAAAAATTTGTTTGATTAACGTCGTATATCGTTGAAAAAAAGTAACGTATTATTTATATTGAATTGTTATATATACTGTTGATATACACGTATACCACAATATAGAAAAGAGTTTTTCGTGAAAATACCACTGTATAAATGTGAATTAGTTGATGTAAACGGCCGTGCGGATCGTTTGATTTGAATCGAGGTGGAATCATTAATAATAACGAATATAATTAAATCCACTTTGATTTGATTTAATTCAACGGTTATACTGGTTTAAAACGAACTATCATTTTAAAATATTTATCTGATATGAATAAACAATGAATATTAAATTTAAATAACCTTACATATTAGTTTCCTAAGTTTTTACAAATGTAATACGAAAAATATTTTAAAACTAAAGTCAATTTAAAATTTGTAAACAATTTGTTAAGTGCACATAAGATAAACGTTATGGAGTCCGGTTACTTCGTCAACGTGTATTTTATAAATTAATCGGAACAACTAATAAAACGTTGCGATGTAATTGTAATTTATTACAAAATAATAACTACCCAACAATAATATTGCCGATAAATTAGTCGAGAAACAAATTATGATGATGTGGTCATCTGTCCGTGCGCGGTAAACACTCTATTGGCTGGTGAGTCGTTTACTATGAACGAACAAACGCCAGCGCACTGTTGTAAGGTCAAATTTCGGCTCTAAAGGATCGCGATCGTGCCGAATCGCCGAGCATCAGGTCCTTCAACTGATCTGGATCAGGCAATAAGATTTGGTTGTTCGCGAGGGCGACCAAAACTTTAAGGCAACACAAAGAAAAATTAAATCTCTCATTATTACTAATAATTAACTTTTCTACGGCGAAATGCCGTACGTTGCAGTGCGCGCAAACGTAATTTATGCGTCCAATGCAATTCTCCTCCGATTAAACGTCTCGCACGTGAGCTTTGCGATCAACCGGTTGCACTGATATCACGTCAACAACACCATCAGCTTGTTCTCGTTCCGGATTAACACCCTGTCGATCGTTCTATGTACGTTAAATTGGATTTATGAAACAGAGAATATACATACAATAAATATTTAAAATACATTGTTATAAATATTAAATTTGAAAAATATCACACAGAGTTAATTTGCTAAAATTCATTGAATAGTGATGGAATAATTTATTTTATTCTGATACAACAATAATAGTAATAACAATGAGTATAACAATGATAATTATGAACAACATAAATCGCTTTCTGAGTAGTGTTGTGTAGTAGCTTAGTGTACAGGCAGATGTTATAAAACTTGTGTCGTCTAAATATAAATGAATAGATGATTATAATAATTAATGGTGCTTAATGTCTGACTGAATTTCGAGAAATATTACGCAAAGCAATTTGTTATGCTCAATAACATTGCAATGAATAACACAGAGATAAAACCAATTTTAATAATTTGTAATAATAGTTCCAGATGGAATTTAAAAATGTACAAACATTGGAAAACAAATTTAAAATAAGTAGAAGAAGATACATACTGGAGTAATAGATACGCCGTTCCACATTAAATAGGCAACACACAGTCGCGACAACCTTACGGTATTGTCGCTAAATGAATGTGACACGGTACCGTGTTTCCCTCAGCCGCACATCACGTAATCAACCTAAATGAAAGTGTATCGGGAACTGAATCATAAGTGGTAAGGTTTGTCTATAAAACGCCTTGGGTCGCGGATTCTAATCCCGTACTGTGCCTTTTTTTTTTTACATGATTTCCGGTACACTAAAGTCGGTAAATTATGATTTTCTCGAGCAATGTACACCAGACACAGAAATTAAATTTCAAAATTAGATTTAAAACAAAAAAATTCAAATGAACTATTTAATATTGACATAAGCTCAAATTGCGACGGTGCTATGCAACTAGTTATCAGTTTTTCTCGTACAGTTATTTCTTATAAACAACGTTATTTTCAAAACAATTGGTATAATAAATACCCTTGGTTGGAGTATTCAGTGAATGCAGTTTTTCGTTATTTTTGTCGTCATTTCCCTCTAACGATTTCACCATCTCAATCGGATAAAGATCCTTTAACTACTCGTGGATACTTCGATTGGAAAAAATATAAATAATATGACTAAAAACATGAACATACTACTTCGTATAAAATTGCTGTTATAAAATACAACTTATGGCTGTTAACCAAAAAAACTAGACTAAAAAACCAAGGGACTAATTTTACAGTTTGCTAGATTCGAAGTCATTGTTGTACTTGTTTTTTAAAATTAAATATTAAACATAATTAATAATAAGTAATAGCCAGTGATAACTTTGATAAATATCTATTAATAGTTATGTTAAGAATAATATAAGTAGCATAGTTTTAATTATTGAACATTAGGGTTTGAAATAATATAAAACTCGAATGATTAAAATTGGATATTGAGGCGCAAAATAATTTATGAATTACAGTATTTTTTTATGACATTGCTGTCACAGTCACGGATTGTTTATTATCAATTACACGCATAGCTAGCTAGTATGACTATCAATAGATATTCTTTTTATATTGTCAGTTAGTGTATTTATGAACTCGCAACAATGTGCTTTACCACCATTATAAATAACAATGCTGTGTATCTGCAAATAGCGATGTCATAAAAAACCAATTAGCTACCTGTATTTGTAATCCCTTGTGTATTATGCATATATATTAATTAAAAAATTTGAAACTTTAAATGTATATATCTAATAAACGAATAAAGTTATACTAAAAATTCAAATGTCGTTTACTACTAAATTAAAAACTAAAACATTTTATTAAACTCAAAATAAGTGTTTCCAGATAAAAAAAATAAAGTCAACACCCTTGCAAGGCATAAGGAATGAACTTAAAAAGTATTAGATAGTTAATAATTAAAGAATAATGTGTATCTAAAGATAACTAATAAAAAAAAAATAATAATAAAATTGTATTTATTCTGCAAGTAATTGAGTGGATTATGATAAAAAATGTATATATATGAATATAATGTTAAATCAGAATATACTGATAATACAGTGATAAATAGTTAGATGACAATAGTTGTTAGAGGCTGTAGGGAGGATAAAATCAGTGGCGCCGATCACCTATATTATCTATATCATAGTAGAAATAATAAGTGGGTGGGTGGTTGGGTATAGAGGAATATTATTTACTAATATGTGAAACTTATAATTAATACTACTAGTCGTCTTAAGTTGTATTTATTATTTTGAACAGATTTGATATAAATAACATAATAAAATATTATGTGTAAATGGGAATGTAGGTATAGGTTATTATCTATTATTGTCACTTAGCATTGTATTAATATAGCTTAACAGCTATCATTATTATACGATATGTCAGTGGCTTTAGTTAAACATTTATTGCGGTGTATTTTATCAGTGTTTCATTAGCTGGACATGGATTATTATTAATTGGTTATAATATAACCGTTATATTCTTACTTATTTTCATTTAAAACAATTGAAGAAATTATGGAAAATCCATCTCTTGTACCACTTGATGTATTTCAAAAATTTGTGAAACGTATAAGGTATAAGATTTAAATCTTATATGATCCGAATATTTGTACTTTACATTACGTTTTAAAGAAACTCAGGTTAATGTTTTTTAACCATGAAGGGATGAAAAAAATCATGTTTTTACTACATAATATTGTAATGTTTTGAATCAAACAATATTTTCCTTACCAAAAATTTAAAATGTTCAATAATTACCGAGAAAATGAGTGTCTTATCCTTAATGAATCACCCTGTATATGTTAAAGATTACATTTAAAACCACAAAAAACTACATTTTATCAAATATTATAAATTATAAATAAATTATAACATTAAAAATTACGTAATACTTACGACTAGAGATTTACAATAATTAATTTTATCGGCTATTAATGGAAACTCATATATTGGTTGACTAATATTTATTGTTACATTATTTGAGCATAAGAATAAACGGCATACACTAGTTCCTACATTTATAATTTCTTTTAGGACTACCCTATAGGAAGATTTGTCCATAACTAATTTTTTAAAGTGAAACTAAATATAATTTACTTAGAAACTATTAATCAAATTCAATTAAATATTTTTGTTTACTTTTAGCGGTTTAATATCATTCTTAATCAATGATAATCTGTTGTGATTACAGTTAGTACCAACTACTATCCAGCAAACCGGTTACAATGTTGCCAGACTACTAATATTAAATATCTCTGAACTGTAATATTTGAAATATTTTTACTTACTTATTATGGGAATAATACATTATCAAAATTTATTATGAAAAATTAAACCGGACATTATTTATAATGACGCTTTAAGTCAACCACTATAAGGTGACTTTTGTTAAACTTCATATGTACAAAATAGACTCCTTTTAGGTACCCTCTTAGTGTCACATCATATAACTATGAGGCGATAACTACACATAACATCAATCTTTTTTAGATTTAACAATAATTATAAAATAAATAATATCGCAGTAGTAAAAGATGTATCTTGACAACTAGTACTCACAAAAGTTGAGAGTTAAATTAAATTTAAATGATTTGCAATAAAAAATTATACTTAGAGAATATTATATTTTTGTTACTAAACCGAATTTATTGGTTTAATAATATTATAACAAAAATGGTATTTATAAACTCATGAATTGTTTACTAAATTGTAAGTTCTTTTATTTAATTTATATTCTAGTTCTATGGAAACATGTGTTTATATTTTAAGAACGCGTAATTCCTTT